AACTGAAAACAATTGTCAAAATAAAACACTTTTTTTTAACATGCACACATTTTACCTTGTGAGAGGACACAGTTTCAACAACTTTCTGACATAAAGTTCTTTTATCAGTTTCTCTCATTATTGGTGTGATGATAATTGTTTTCATTTCTTTTCCAGAGCAATAAAATGATACATCTGCAACTTATCAATGTAATTTATCTCCCTTTAGGTGCAATTTGACTGTGTGAAAACTTTGAATTTGCCTGCATTCAACTTTATAAAGAGAATTATCATCTCAGTTATTAAATTTAATGATGAAAAGAAAATTGGTTGCAACAAATTTCACATTTTCTTCTCACTCACTTTAAATACCAGCTAATGCATTTTTATGACCTGCAAAAGAAAAGATTTCATACAGTATATACCAAATTGCTGTAATTTATACAATAGTTGCTGGTTTTGGCCTCACTGGGATTCGAGGCCAGCAGTAAAAGAGAAAATTGATGCTGCTGCCTTGGTTTTTTTTTCTTCTTTCCTCAAATCTACTGCATCACAGCTTTGGCTGCTAAGAGCGTATGAGATTGTGGCGACATTCTTCGGTTTGTGAATGAGACCACAGAGTAGCCACACAAAGTTCCTCGTCCCCAGTCCTCAACCTAACTCGCCCACTCGCATTGTCTCTAGACTTTCCTCAAGAATGTGGATTTCTATGGCCGACGGCAAGCCAGACAAAATTGCCAATTGCATTGTCACCTCTTGTGGTTTTTCTCCTTAACAATCTCTATTGGCAGTAGAGTTCAGGAGGAACCCTCTCAACGAAAACATCTGTTTTTGAAGATGCTAGAGTGGAAAACGGTGTTCAAGATGTTTTTGTTTTTTTTAATTTAAAAATGAAGCCATCAGTGTATGAGAAACATTAATTTCAGCTTGAGTTCAAAATGTAAATTTCAACAGCTGAAAGAAATAAACCCTGTTGTGTTTAGGTTTGAGTTAAAAACAGCAGCTATAACACCGCAGGACACTCCATCCCCTGATTGCTTTTTTTACAGTCCAAAAAACGACGGCATGATGAAGGCAGCTTGCTTCCTTTGCTTCGGCACGGCAAGACTTATTTCCCTCATTACCCTGCATTCAAACACAGGGTGCTCTGATGCCACAAGAGGAAGTGGCTTTGGCAGAAAATGTCAAACCAGCGTTTAAGTGCAGGATTGAAGCGGGTCTGATGTGGACTGGATCAACTTGTTAAGTCAAATGAAAGGTCAAGATATTTTTCCACAGCGTCGAGCAACTCTAGGAACAGCTATTTAAACTGCCGTTAAATTGAGAGTGCTGTGCTGGTCACCTTATGTGAGGAAAGCACGAGTTGAGTTGTTGACAGAGGCAGGAAATTAAAACAATACACAGAAAGATAAATAGTTACCTCTTGCTTTCACGCGGAAATGAAGACTAAACGCCCTCACAGAAATGCCCCTCTCTTACAGGAAAGTGACAATGACGTGTTGGGATGATGCTGAGAGTAGCGTGCTCACTTGTCCTCGTCCACTCTGCGCTGTCATGTCAGCAAAGTGTCCATCTCGTTGAGGCCTGTAGCTACAGGTCTTTGTGCCACTGTCGACACATCTCACAGGGATTGGGTTCCACAGCTTGCTCGCTCCTCTAAATGATCTGTTTGTTTGTCAGAGGGCCTCGCTACAGCAGGGAATTCACACACTGTTGATGGAGGACAGACACCAGCTCACCCGGACTCCCACAAAGTGTGAGTTCATCAGCTGGTGCACCTGAAGAGCACAGTCCTGACTGGACCGTCTTTTCAAAGACAACTAATGTGCGTTAAGAGAATCGAGTTGTAAGCATATCAAATTGTTTTTCACTTGGCCCTTTGCTCTATTCGAACTGGCTAAGCAGTTTCATCGAGTATTGAAAACGGCCCCCTCACGTACACGAGAAGAAGTTTTCATTTCTGGTGCCAGCTGAGGGGAAAGTGCTTCCCATCGAGCTCGCACCGACCTTGAAGGACAGATCTGCTTTCAAACTCACTAACACCTTTTGACACAGCTCACTCGCCTGCATGCTGTTACAGAAATGTCTTTTGGGGTAGGGGTGAAGGGGCCCCGAAGCTAAATACACTGGGCCAAACACCAGGGGAGGAGAGGGAACTGTACTTATTGCATAGATTTATCTCTGGGTGTACCTGTATCGGATGAATCACCGTACGAGTCTGTGTGCTCCGCGGGGCCGAATCTCATCCCCTTTTTGCACGACACTGCCGAGATGAGATAGAGGGAAGGGTACATGGTCGCTGGGATTTAAACCCAAACCAGCTGGGTGACGAGAGGCCCCGGTGTGTGAGGAGAGGGCCGGCTTTGTCAGATAGAAAATGAAGGAGCGGACTCCACATCAGGATTTACTCAGGCTGAATCATCAACCAAAGTTGCGCCTCTTGCCTGATGAGAGGTTAACTGTTCTTTGCACCTGAGGGCTTTGATCATTAGGGATTTCAATAAAGTATTTTGTCAATCAATCTTTTGTTGTCAGTCATTTTTATGACAGCAGCTAATTTCAATAATTCCAGTTACACGACAGTCATTTCAGGCTGCAAAACACGACCAACTGCTTGTGTCAAACAGGCTAATTAATCATTGTTACATACAATTAAGCAGTTAAGCACACAAGAACTAATACAGTAATTTGATGGAGTGATAGAGAGTGGAAAAGTGAAGTTCTCAGATTAACCACTGGCACAGATCAATCCATCTTCTCACTTAACCACCTTTTAATCGTATATTTGATAGTGTTGATGAGTGTGGAGCTCTCAGTGGGGTGTTGTGTTGGGCTGATGATGTCCAGGAGGCCGCAGAGTGCCGCTGACACGTTTAATGTGATATCAGCTCAGTGAAAGGGAAGAATTTAGATGACAGACATTATGAAGTTTGAGAGAGTTTACGTCTCCTGTTGCAAAACAATTAGCTTCTTAAGAATTATTATGTGATAAAGAAGAACTAACTGGACTTACATGAACTTTATATGTCTACATCACTAAGCCTTACAGGCAAATATTGCACTTTCAGTCCACTGCATCTGACTTAGCAGTTGCTTTGCAGATTTTGTTTACAAAATATACAATCTGTTTCAGATACTCAACTTACAGCCCGTGGACCATATCTGGCCTGCCATAGGGTGCAGGGTGGCCCACTGACCATTTTGTATTTACAATTAAAATATATTTTCTCTACTTCGAATTAAAAAATGAGCCACAGTGCACTAAAAAGCATCAAAATGATTTGTTTATTCAAAAAAGACAAAAAAAAAAAAAAGTGTCAGGGGAGGATTCCCAGACCCCCTGACAGAGGTCTGGGCTGAGCCCCAAATGTCCTCAAATCCCAGAAACGCCCCTGAATACACGTGTGCACAGCTGCTGTGACTGGATTTGCCCAGTTTATTCATTTTATCGGATAATTATTATTAATATTTGTTTATTAATTGGCTCCTGTCCTGCTGTCATTTTGCAAAAGTGGCTCTCGGGCAAAGCAAGTTGAGTATCCCTGGTGTATAAAGTATTAGCTCCACATCAACCAACAAGTGAAATACTGTAAACATGTTCATGTAACTGTAATAATTATCATATAATGTCATAAATATGACACTGATGGGGCTATTCTGCCTGATGAGTACTTTTACTTTACAAGTACATTTTGCTGATTAGCTTTGGTAGCTTTTTACTCAAGAGAAATTTTGAGTGCAGGACTTTAATAACTTGTAATAAACTGATTTTACACTGTGGTGTAGAGACTTCAGCTAAAGCAAAATTATATAAAAACTGACTTAATGAACTTTTATTCATCAGTTATTGTCAGGAAAGTGACCTGTGGCCAATATAGCAGATTTAGCTTTGCAAAAACTGACAGCTGAGCACAATAATTGCACTTCTATAAAAATGTTTGTCAAATAAATTCACCTTAACTTGATTTAATCACCTTTCAGACTTAACAAAATGTATTTTTCTACCTGTTTCGAAGTCAGTGTGCTGATCCTGGTGATTTGCAGTAAACACCATAATTTAAATAAAATAAACTGAAAAAAAAAATGTCCATATGAATTAAATTCCGCCCTCGTCACTCTCAGCCTAGACGTGAAACAGTTAACTGTCAGCGCCTGTTTCCTCACAGCTCCATGCAGTGGACTATGAAATATTTGGAGGACAATTGGTTAAGTGGAGTTAACCGTTGCCTCTTTCTCCCCGAGGTATCTTCCTTTTTGATCCCGCCGAGCCTGGCGCCTCGCAAAACACAACTTGTCTGGCTTATTAAATAGTATGACCTGGAGAAAGAAAAACGCCTGTTGCTTCTCAACTGAGGCCATTGTGAAGCGAGAAGAGCTCATGACAGGCCTTAAATTGCTGTAACGCTGTGTGACCAACAGTCATACCTAATCAATTTCTGACGTGGCTGCGCACCTTTTCTTATTTGATTTGACTCTCAGCTGAATTGTTTCACTCTTTGTTTTTATTTTCACTCATCTGATTACTTTATGAAGCATGCTTGTTCGTTTAATTTAATTGCTGAATATAATTTACGCGTATTGAGATTGTTTAATCTGTTGATTTGAGAGAGTTTGTTTTTTTCTGCGTCTTCTGCTTCGATTACTTTGATATTGGCATGTGACTCCTTCCTACCTACAGAGGGGGAATAATTCATGGGATAGCACCGATGAAGTGCCCGGTTAATGGATGTAAATGGTCAGGAGAGTCCACCCCACTGGTTAATTGCGCTAAAATTGGTCTAAGCTACTTTGTGAGGGCCATCAATGGCCCCGCACCGCATGGGGTCTGTATGATTAACTTCTCCTTCCTTTCAAAGGCCTCTTGATGTTCCCTTGGAAGGCGACGGGCCAATCAAACCCGCACTCGCTGACGTCACGAAGCCAACGTGCCGAGCTGATTGGTGGGAGCGGGGAGGGGGGAACAGCCCTTGTCCTTTTATAGACGACCCCGTACAGCGCGTAAAAGCTACTGGGCACCGCTGACAGCGCCGGAGACGCACATTGGACACAGTACACATCAGCGACTCCATTCCTCTGAACGGGCCACACGGAGGTGCATGGCCCCATCCCCTTGTGTCATGATGAATCCTGTGCAGGGGTCGCCGTCCCAGGACGCCAAACAGCTTCATCAAAAAGAGGAGACGGACACGGAGGGCGAGGAGCTCCAGCCTAAAGACATGACCACAGAGAAAGGATACAAACTGCAGCGGAGCAGCCTCCCGTTTAGCGTCGAGTCGTTGATTTCAAAGAAGACCACCTGTCGGACTTCTTATTCCCCCACAGATTTAGCTCTGGCCCTGCCGAAGCCCGTGGCCGGACAGGGCGTGCAATTCTCTCCAAGGACTCTTTACGCAGAGAGCAAGGTTTCCTCCGCGGAGAGCTCGCAGGGTGTTTCCAGCAGCTCCAGCGAGGACAGTCCGCAGTTTTGTGAGAAGGATCAGAGCACTTGGTTCCAGACGTCCTCCTTTTCTACTCCGCCTCGTAAGTCCGTCCCTCTGCTGCTCTCAGAGTTTTGCACGGATACTTTTTCCATCTTAATTCATCTTTTACTGTCGATCAAAGCTGCAAGAAAAGCGTAATTACGCAGCAGATGCACAAAATAACAATGTCCTTGTTGTGTCACAGTCATGTTAATAATGCCCCGAGCTGCAAAGACTGTGCGTAAAGTTCTTTCTTGCATTTTCCTTTTTGTTATGTACAAACTGGAGATGTATGATGATCTCACTGAGCATGTGAAGCACATATCTGGCTGCTGAATTTGGTCTTTATACATTTCTTAACATATTTGATATTTACCTAAAGATGCAAGTGTTCTATGAAAGAAAATATGCAGCACCTGAGGATGATTGAACCAGACAATGCATGTGCGCACGACTAAATGTGATCAGTTTGTGATGCATATACAGGCTTTATTTATCATCTTAAAATATAGTTTTTAGTTTAGTTTTTGTTGATATCAGTATCAGAAATACTTTATTGATCCCCGGAGGATGTGTGTTTACTTGCAGTCTTTGCATTAATATTGGTGCCTCACACGTTCACCTGCTGTGATGATCAACAGTTAAGCATAAACAGAATCTAACCTCAGGTATTTCTCTGTGTAATTTCTCTCTAACAGGGAGCTCAAGTCCAACTCAGTGTACTTTAAGGAAACACAAAAACAACAGGAAACCTCGCACGCCCTTCACTACCTCGCAGCTGCTGGCGCTGGAGCGCAAGTTTCGCCAGAAGCAGTACCTCTCCATCGCCGAGAGAGCCGAGTTCTCCAACTCTCTCAACCTGACGGAGACTCAGGTCAAAATTTGGTTTCAGAACAGGAGGGCCAAAGCCAAGAGACTGCAGGAGGCCGAGCTGGAAAAGTTTAAACTGGCCTCCAAGCCCATCCTGCCCGCCTTCGCGCTGCCGCTTCCCCTCGGTGCGCACATGGGGTCTCCGACATGGGGCCCGTCAAACGCCTTCCCGCGGCCCAGTCTGCCGGTCCCAGGAATCTTCAGCGGACCCGTCACTTATGGGATGTACTATTTGTCTTAGTATTACCGTGTGTGTGTGTGTGTGTGTGTGTGTGTGTGTGTGGTTTTAAGAGAAATTTGTCCTCTGTCATGCAATACACTTATAAAACAAGGACGGTGCGTTTTGTACACCTCGGAAACATTTTTTTTGTATTTTCAATTTGGAGTTTAGAGAAATTTTCTACCCTCCAGAAAAAAAAACAATTAATTCTGGGACACATTTTCATGTATAATTGTGTGCGTAATTGGACTGAGTGAGGTCACTTGCTCTCCTCATTTTCAGACAGCTCTGTGGATTGTGGATTCACAGGCCTAAATTACAGAGGCAATACTCCAAAAGTAAATGTCAGGTTTTTAAACGACATGCCTTAAATATGTGCTTCCAGTCCACGCACCGTGCTCCGCAGCAGTCTGTGAAAAGCGGACATCTAAAGTGTGTCCAGACATGAAGGCGATCATCTACTGAAGCGGAGGTTTTAAAAAAGCAACAGAAAAGTACTTAAACGGTGTCAGTGCCTTAAGACCAGTGTATCACTTGAAGTATATTTCTCCTCATTCAGCCTTGACTGTTTCTGGTTTAACTGCAGTTTTCCTCCGAGTTGCTGTTTGAATGTTTGTATTTCCTTACAGCAGCTCCACTCACGATTTCTACATTTTGTAAACATGGAGCAAAATTATATTTTAGGGAAAAAAACACATGTATTAGATATGTTTTTACTCTCACAACGTGGCTTGTATGGGAGTGATCATAGATTTTCTTTGAGGATTTTTTGCTGTACATGTAAATAAAATGTGTAGTGTTCATAAAGACCTGCAGCCTCGCTCGAGGAGCAGCAGGGAATGTGGTATTTATTGAATATCTTTGTATCTGTACTGTGTACATACATCACTCTATCTAAATGTTCAGTTACTTGTAAAAACTGATTTTAGTAAATAAACATTATACAAGACCTGCAAGTGTTTTACAGCTTTTCTCACTGTTTTTTTATTATTATTTACATTAATTATTTGGCTTCTTATAGTAGAGTTTGATGAATCAGTGGAGCAGGAGTCTATACAGAGTGCTCCTTCAAGAAATATGACTTTATCAAAGGTAGTTGTTATCTAATTTGAAAATGCCCCAATAATTATGCGATTTTTCCAATTTTGTGCAATGTACCTTGCACAACTTAAATTAAAAATAGCATACAGACTTTAATGTACTCATTAAACACTTAGGACATAAATTGTCGAGGAGATTTTACTATGAACACAATGCAAAGACGATGCAACATCAGTTAAACCCCTGTTCTGATAAAATAAAAAGGATTTGTAATATTTTTGCAAAGCTTTTCTTTTCACATCACACAATTGTTTTACTGTTCAACACAGCCTTTATAAAAGTCAACAGGCCTGCATTTTAATCCAGCACATGCTGTCATTTCTAAAAGATACACAAACGTGTTTAACGGGCAATTGAAGGAGTATACACACATACCTCCTGTCCAGTACAAATATTTCCATCAAGACAGCTCCAGTGCAAATGTAGTAGTATGCTACATATCGGTGCTGCACACACCTGCGTACACTGCCCATAATCATTCACAGATAATACCAAATAAGCACAAATGATCAGCTCTATACAGTTGGTGGAAATCATTTTTAAAAAATGTCCCATCTGGTGTTTAATGTGGTGCGTTTTATTGATTCAAATTCGGGTGTTATTTGGTTCACTTGTAACACATTGATGTAGTATGTTGCACTGCAGCCCAGCTCTAGGCCTTTATAAACAAATTTATAACACAGATTATATTTAAAATAAAGAAAAAACTTTTCCCGTTTTGATTTTGACGCTCTTTTGCTCTCGTCACACCACGTCTCCAACAAAAAGCGATCCTGTGTCACGTTTATAAGCTAAATATAATCACAAAAAACGACGTGCAGTTTATTTTGATGTGTTTTTAGAATTTTCCCTATTAAAGCATTTAAGTGCAGATATTCAGTAAATCATAAAGTTGCAGATGCAACCTTGTATCGACGAGTAAACGAAGGCAGTACAACTCGCTGTGGGTCCTCGGCTCGTCCAGCAGAGGGCGGTGGCGGGACTCGCTGCTGCTCCTGGGGCAGATGAAGAAAAGGGACTTCCGGTGTTCCACTCTGTCACGGATTACACTTTGTACAGCGAGGTGAGTACGTTAGCGGGCCGGTTTGCTGAATGAAAAACATCTATTGAAAACCTGTTAGAATAATTATTTGTGCAGCTTATACATTTACAAGTGTGCACGATATTAAATAGCAAACTTAACGTTCATTCGGTGTTTTCGTGAACACCTTGGCGATACGGAGAGACTTCTCTGACCTTGGCTATCAAGCTAATACAGCTAGCTCCCGTTAGCTAGCTTTGCAGCGGTCTTGGACAAAATGTCAAGGGCCCGGTGTCATTGATTGCCTCTTGTCAAAAACGTATTATTGCCGTCTTACCTTCTCCTTTAGTTATTAAAAACATGCTTTTACCATGTAGCACCTGCAGTCATGCGTACGATATTTATTGGTGACGTTATTTACTATAGGCCGAGGGCACTAAAACTTAATGTCTTGCAGCGTCAATGCTAACATCACCTGTCTGTGCGATATAACACAAACTTAAGTGTTTCATCTTGAGACATAGCTAGAGTCTGCAGTCGGTCGTTAAACGTCAACTTGCCACACTAAATTGAGTGACTGCATTATGACATAATGTCGCAGTATGAACATTTAACTAAAGGTGAACATGTTTTTATCTGGCTAGGCTACAAATATGCTTTACGTGTTAATCCATTACATAACCTTTGTGTCAGCAGCATGGAAATCTTTTTCCACATATATCTCCACATAATATAGCATGCTATAATACCACTGTATACTTCTAGTATTACACTTGACACACGTGCATTACACGCACAGAAATAATGTAATTGTAATGCTTAAGAAAATTGTGCCACATAACCTGACCACACACACTCAGTATACAGTTAATTAGGGTCACCTTATTTAAACTAATGCAGTCAAATACACAACCATACAGTAAATCCCACCTTCATGAAGGTTAAACTGCTTAACCTTTGTTGAAAGGGACTTTAGAGAGGCGTTAGTTCACCTTGTGGTCCTATTGGAAGCTTTATTTGTACTTTTGTATTGCATTGAACTGAAATGTGTTTCTAATTTTTACTCTGTCCTCACTGATATAAATGGTACAACAAGATATTGGTATCTTGCAACTCAATTCAACAATACATCATCCAAAATCACTATCAACTTTAAAAAAAAACAAAAAAAAAAAACTTTCTAATACACGAGCAAAAGTTAAGCCTAGTTAACAAAACTCACGTTAACTCCAAAAACACGTAAGTGATCCTTGAGTTCAGTTTTATGTCAAACGCTCAAATAGCTTCAGCATAAACTGGACATTAACATTTTCTCTCAGCTGCATGTATCCTGGATTATTTTGATGTTTTTGTTGAGGTTTGGTTAGCCTAAACGAGATTCCTTTACCTTTCAGATCGGCAGAATGGCAGGCCGCCGTGTAGCCCTGAAGGCCATTGACTGGCTGGCGTTTGCCGAGCGGGTCCCACCCAACCAGAGGAGCATGTTCAATGCACTGAAGACTCGCAGTGATGCTATCGCTGCCAAGTTAGTTTTACACAGACAACAGGCTTTAGAAAGTCATGCTTCAGTCAGTCACATTATTTTTGGGTTATGCACTGTGAGAGATGTATTTTCTTGCTGATGAGCATGTAAATGCTGTAATCCTACCTTTCATGCAGTGAGAGAGTGACACATAAAGTAAAAGTGTCCACCTGGCCGAGAAGTTTTGCACGGTGCTGGAGGGACGTTCACGTGTTAATGAATAAAAGACCATCTGCACACTAGAATCTGTTTTTATACAGTTCCTCCCGTGTTGATGGTCTTTCTTTGTATTCACACACCAGGGCTTAATTCAGTATTTCATTTTTGGCAGTTTGCTTGAAAACTAAAAGAAATAGTTTGGTCAAACTAATGAAGTGCTCAACCTACAGAAGTACCTGTACCCATTATGAGATGTTTGAGAGGAAGAAATTGAAGCTGCACACAAAGCTGTTAAATTAGTGAACCTGTCATTTTATTCATGTTTTGCTTCTTTCGTACATCTTATCAGGTCCTCATCAGTAAGTTGGATTTGTGGTTATTAATTGGTCTCCTGGAAGAACTGCCATCTTCCCACAGTATTGGTTCTTCTCACTCTATTAAACGGAAACAGCACCTAAGTTCAGAATTCTAGTATGTTATTACCATGGCCTCGGAAGGTTCAATCAGTATTTGTGAGCATGACCTACTCTCTGTCAAAGCTAGAAACCAGAGAAGCAAGTTTTGAACTTGTGATGCCATTAGGTATAAAGTAGCCATATACTCTGGATATTTCCCTGGGTGCTCTCAGTGTCATATAGAGCATCTTTCACCATTCATTGTCTTTGGAGCAGCTCCACACTTTCTACTCTATGACATCACTAGTTTGAGTTTTGGCACCCAAGTTTTTGGATTTGAAAGAGAGTTGTTCATATTCACTAAAATTTTATTGTTTGACTGTTAGAGCATAAGAATAACATGTCAGAACTTTAGAAATGGGTATAATTTCCCTCTAAGTTGCTTTTTGTAGTCCACCAAATTATTTTTATCAACTCTTGCTCACTCATTAGTTTTTTGCACTGGTTTATTTTATTTGATTAGTTTGCTCCCTGTACTCACCTTCATTTTCATCTGTTTATTATTTTTCTTCCAGACTCTCTGCCCTGCCAGAGACTCCTGCAGCCATTGACTGGAGTTACTACAAGACCGCAGTGGCTAAAGCTGGGATGGTTGATGACTTTGAGAAGAAGGTGAGTTACTGTTTAAACAGCTCTGAGGGTTACAGTGCTGGTGAATAATAGTTGTAAGCATGCAACAGCTTAAATTCCCTTATGGTCCATCTCTGCAAAAATAATCACTTAAGCTGGTGGTTGTGCAGCTTAAAGGTCCAGTGTGAAGGATTTAGGGGGATAAATGAACAGAAATGGATATAATACAAAAGGAGTGTTTTCTTTAGTATATAATCACCCGAAATTAGTTAATCGCTGTGTTGTCATTACCTTATAATGAGACCTTTATAGCTACATCGGGAGTTGCTCCTCATCTATGGTGTGTGCCATGTTACACTGCCATGTTTCTACAGTAGCTCAGAATGGACAAACCAAACACTGGCTCTAGATAGGGCCATTTAGCCATCATAGTCAGCAGCCCCTTCAAAATGAGCCGAACAGCATTAGAAAAGGGATTTTGTTTATCACCTGAAACTGCTTTATTCAGTATTTCTACTGGTGTAACTCACCGAGTCTGTTAGTTTTGGAGTTTCGGAAATTTTTGAGAACCCAAGCCAATTCAAGCCCGGGGGCAGTAATGAGAAATTACAGCCTCACCCAGATGGGCCCATTCGGGCTCGGGCAGAGAATCAGAGCTCTACTTTGCAGATAATTTGGCTCCTGGTAAAAACCTGAACAGTGAACACTGAAGGCATCATAACCGGGAGTTCACACTTGGCACATGGCAGAAGTTTCAGCTGGTTGCAGTCTGCAGTCCTCGCCACTGGATGCCACTAAATCCTACACACTGCTGCATTTAGTCATAATTTCATTAGTTTGTTTAGCATTTGTTGGTTTGCATCACAGTGGTAAATGATAACTGTTCCTCTTCCAGTTCAAAGCCCTGCAGATCCCTGAGCCTATTGACACACAGACAAGCGCCATCAATGCCCAGGAAGCTGAAGCTGTGAGTGATTATACAAAACAGACCCATCTACTGCCTGAATTACACCTTTGCTATACTGTTTTAAAATTTCAATTTTAATTAGAAAACTGATACAGTTAAACCAAAATTGGCAGTTATATGTATATTTTTGTAACTATTGAGAGAAACTGAATATGCACAAATAGTTAAACA